TTATTGCCAACCGGTATGCTTAGTGGGAAACACACAAAGGGGGTATTTATTTGCGGTCAACTACTTTTATGATGGTCATATAACCTTATACCTTTTGGACAAGTATAAATAAAATCTGAAAACCGTAACCGTCGCTTTTTCTAAAAATCACCAACGATACCCACAAAAAAATGGAAAATCGAAAAATTAAAAAAAAAAACGGAAAATCGAAAAATAAAAAAAATGGAAAATCGAAAAAAAAAGATGGAAAATCAAAAATTTTAAATTCCAGAAATTGAATTGAGATAGAAGAACTGAAAAGTCGAGAAATCGAAAAACCTAATATTTTAAAAACTGAAAAGTAGAGATGTACCGACTGTAGGTCTGGCCGACTAACCGACTAGCCGATTATTCGGCCAGTAAAAACCGACTAGTCGGCCGACTGTTCGGCTTTGCTAAAACCGGTTTATAAATGCGACAGACAGTGTGTTTTTACTTCCCGAGCGTAAGCAAAGGAAGTATTGTAATCGAGTCCGTCGGCCGACTCTCTACTTTTACGTTTTCTCGATCTTTCATGACCCCTAGAAGACGAAGAAATAGGTCTCCCATTTCCGTCTGTCTGTCCGTCTGTCCGTCTGTCCGTCCGTCTGTCCGTCTGTCCGTCTGCCGTCTCGGATTTATATTAGACAGATAATCTCCGAAAATACTCGACCGATTGTTGTGAAATTTTGTAGTTATATTAAGAATATCATGTAGATGGTAAAACGCTAACCAAAATTTGTCTAATCATCCCCACCACTAATGCGATGACGTCACTTCAAAATTGTACATAGTAAATGGGTTCTCAATTGTATAAAATAACATAGTCCTACACATGTAGTTTACAACTCTGAATCGACTTTTCACCCGAAACGTCCAGATTTTTGGAAAAAAAATCAAAATTATAAAACAACGTTTTGAAATTTAATTTTTAATCTGCTAACCAGAATGCTTTGAAATGTTGCAGATGTTTTAAGGCTATAAAGAGCATCATAAATCTTTAGTCAAAAAATATTTGCTTATCCCCTCCAAAAACTTGATGACGTCAGCTCAAAAGTTTGTGGAATAAATCATATCTAAAATGTACAAAATATGATGAGTCTGTACTTGTGATCTATCACTCCATTCATATTTTTTGGATTTGCACATACAGGGTGACTCAAAAAAATTAATGAATGCGTAAATATATTTTATTGATTTAATCAGGAACTACAAAACCGAATGCTCTGAAATCTTGCAGATGTTTTAAGGTCATAAAGAGCATAATAAATGTTTAGTCAAAATATATTTGCTTATCCCCTCCAAAAACTTGATGACGTCAGCTCGAAAATTTGCCGAATAAATCATATCTAAAATGTACAAAATATGATGACCCTGTACTTGTCATTTATCACTCCATTCATATTTTTTGGATTTGCATATACAGAGTGACTCAAAAAAATTAATGAATGCGTAAATATATTTTATTGATTTAATCAGGAACTACAAAACGGAATGCTCTGACATCTTGCAGATGTTTTAAGGTTATAAAGAGCATAATAAATGTTTAGTCAAAATACATTTGCTTATCTCCTCCAAAAACTTGATGACGTCAGCTCGAAAATTTGCCGAATAAATCATATCTAAAATGTACAAAATATGATCAGTCTGTACTTGTGATCTATCACTCCATTCATATTTTTTGGATTTGCATATACAGGGTGATTCAAGAAAATAAATGAAAGCGTAAATTTATTTTACTGATTTACTCAGGAACTACAAAACCGAATGCTTCGAAATCTTGAAGATATTTTAAAATTATCATAAGCATGGTAAATTTTTGATCAAAACGTATTTGGTCGTCCCCCCTAAAAAATTTATGACGTCACCACAAAATTTTGCTGAATAAATCCTATCTAAAATGTACAAAATATGGTGAGTCTCTTCTTGTGATTTATCATTCCATTCAAATTTTTTCGATTTGCATATACAGGGTGACTCAAAAAAATTAATGAATGCGTAAATTTATTTTATTGATTTAATCAGGAACTACAAAACCGAATGCTTTGAAATCTTGCAGATGTTTTAAGGTTATAAAAAGCATAATAAATTTTTAGTCAAAATATATTTGGTTATCTTCTACAAAAAACTGATGACGTCAGCTCAAAAGTTTGCCGAATAAATCGTATCTAAAATGTACAAAATATGATGAGTCTGTACTTGTGATTTATCATTCCATTCATATTTTTGGATTTGCATATGCAGGGTGACTCAAAAAAATTAATGAAGGCGTGAATTTATTTTATCGATTTAATCAGGAATTACAAAACCGAATGCTTTGAAATCTTGGGAATATTTTAAAGTTATTATAAGCATGGTAAACTTTTGTTCAAAATGTATTTGTTCATCCCTCCTAAAAAAATTGATGACGTCACCCTTAAATTTTGCTGAATAAATCCTATCTAAAATGCAAAAAATATGATGAGTTTGTACTTGTGATTTATCATTCCATTCATATTTTTTAGATTTTCTTAAGAGGTGGTTCAAAAAAATTAATGAAGTCAATTTATTTTATTGATTAAATTAAAGGCAACACTTATTATTAGTATTACACCCCAACCAACCCAATTTGGTAGACACAAAATTTGTTAAAGGAAAAACTCGGTTGAAACATAAGGGTAGCACGCTTATTTATATCGACTTTAACATTACAGACCTGCATTTGTTTTATGCGCTCACTTGGTTCCGCGAATGTGAAATAGACATGTTTATAATCAACCAATTGTGAATTTCACCGTCAAGAATTAAAATAAAACCCGCAATGTTTTATATAATAAGCGGAAGTCGAAGCAATCAAACCGATGGTCGTTTTGTTTACAGTTTCTCTGTTTGACTCTCACGTATGCTGTTACGCCTGTCATCTTAAATTAAGAATGTTTATACATACACGATTTTCAGTTGCCTCTGATACGTATACGTGAGTAAATTGTTTCGTTATTTTATTGATTATTACAAATCAATATTCAAAACGACCCAATTCATTTTCCCGAAAATTTGAGGATATAATAATTTTATTATTAAATTATTATGGTATTACACTACATCTATCCCAACTGATATACGTGTCCTTGCAAAAATGTTGATGACGTCATCGCAATTTTTTTTTAAATTCCCACTACAAATATGTAATGAGAAAAAAAACACAATAGGCATGCAGTCGTCAAGTTTCCGACAGCGAGGGAAGTACTGTCTAAACTCTTTAGACGAATTTTTTTTTCTGTTTCTCTGACTATCTTAAAAATTTGTTTTATTTTAATAAAAGGAATAACTAAAGTTCCTTCGTTTTCCAAAAAATGTGTTAAATTTGTTTGAACAATTTTAACATTTAATTTTTTTTTGTAACTCAGTACAAAAATAAAGAATTACACAATTTATGGCCATTTTATACAATATTTTAACTGAGATTAAGTTGATCGCGCATTTAACAAGGCCATTAGCGACGTCTCATTGGCGTAGAGTCGGTCACATGGTACTTTAACGCGGGGTTAAAAATTAAATCGCAATTAAATATTTAATTGAGGTTCTGTAAACCGGGTTTAATTGTTTTATATACTTACTATTTTAATTTTAATAAAAAAAGCCGACCGATCGGCTGTTTTGCCGACCAGTCGCCGACTGCCAGCCGCCGATGAAAAACGGCCGAATAGTCGGCTTATCCGACCGTTCGGCTACTAGTCGGTACATCCCTACTGAAAAGTTTAAAAAACGAAAAATTGAAAATTCAAACAGTAAAAAGTCGAAAAACTGAAAAATCACAAAATTGAACAAAGTATTCAAAAATTAGGAAGTTAAAGAATTGAAAAATTGAGAAATCAAAAATTCAAAAAGCAAAGTCGAAAAAAGTAGATTAATTGAGGCATCGGAAATATAAAAATTCTGAAACGTCAAAATTTGAAAAATTAAAAAATATTGAAGAACTGAAAAGTCGAAAAGTCTAAAATTTAAAACATTGAAAAATTAAAATATCGTAAAATTGAAAAATGGAGAAATCTAAAAATCAAAAAATAAAAAAATAAAAATTGAAAAATCTAAAATATAAAAATCGAAAAACTAAAAAATCAACACATCGAGAAATATCATAATAACTATATCTACTATAATGGCCGTTCATTTTTTTATTTAAATAAAGGATGAATTTAAACGCATACACCAGGCATCCTCCAAAAATTGGGATTTACTGGCATGTTGTCAACATGTGCTTATCATAACAATAATAATTAAAGAAAAGCTGAAATTTGGTTAAAATTGGACAAAAACCTTTCACCAGTCCACCGTTCATTTGGGGATGGGCTATTTTGCTTTAACGTAATCGCACTGGCCACAAGTTTGATGAGTTGGTGTTCGTCCAGACTACTGTTAACGTAGTTCACAAGAAAAAAGGAGGGAGAGCCACTATCCACTATTACGTTTGTGGATGAAGTGAAGTGAGGGGTAAGACGGAGCATTAGCCCCGCACTTGTCCATAAGGTTGCCTCTCTTTTAACATCTATACTCACTGGTAGAACATTATTTATACGAAATTTTTAGAGCATTTGACCAAAAAAATACACGTTCCTACAATTCGAATGCTTGCATGCCAATTTAATACTTGTATTTTTTCTTCTGTTGTATACATTTCTCAAATTTCCAAATTATATTTTGACAAGTTGACAAATTTAATTTTTTTTAAATTATCAGATAGGTTTGATGTAATGTTGGTTGCAGACTTCTAATACATTGATGTGTTTTTTTTTCAGATTGAACATAGGGAGTTTATGGTGTATGTTCAGAGTTAAAAAAATGTTTCTGTATAAAAAGTCTATATTTACACCTGACATTGTTGACAGTTGACAGACCATCAGCATCAGCCGGTCAGATGAAGTAGAAATAAAGCGCATGCTTAGTGCTCGCCAAATCGTAAACTTCCGGACATATCAATCGGCCATTTTCGACAATAGGTAACATTGCGCGTATGTGAACTCCTGACGGCGATGCCCTGCCTTGTGCTAAATTAACAGTTTTGTGTATTGTTTGTTGTTATTAACCTAAAATCTATTTCTTCAACTGAAAAATGAGACGCAAAGTATTGTTAGTGCGCGCCCAGTGCCAGATGACGGATTACTAGTTCTGTTCTGTAGAGAATAACCTCATTTTGGGTAAGTGTTTTAAATGACAGTTTTCGCTTCATGTCCTTGCGAGAAGGGTGGCGAGCACTTAGTTTTATAAACAGGCAGCCCTTATTTCTCTTGGCTCAAATAGGTATTGGTAATGTTACTGGTAAAATTCACATGTTTTGTTTTAGATCATTTGTTTGTTTTTTTTAATTTTTGTATAGGTGCGGTTTTACTTTTCGAATTATTAACGTTGTGTGATATTTTTTGTATTAACTTCTTTATGAATCAAAGAATTTTAAAAATTGCCAGTAAGGTGACCCGACAAATATGATATATCCAATTTGCATGTGCATAAAACCAATAAAAAGTTGAGCATAGTTGTATTATAACATGCATTTCGAAAATGTCAGCAACTGCAGTGTATGATGTAGAACTATCTACCATTAAAATGAAAACAGTATTAGTGGTAATTTACTTAAAGCAGTCTAAGGTTCCAGTTACAAAGACCAGTTGAAATGTTTGTAGACTAGCTATCGTTTCAGAGAGCAATTGGACATTTCTATTTGACTGTAGTTATGGCGCTTTTCAAACCGTCAACAACTGCTTTTCATTTAACTCTTTAAGTATGACAGGAGATCATTTCACTTCAGACTAGCTCAAATTAGATCACGTTTGAGTTACCTAGAGTCACTCAATGCTTAAATGCAAACTAGCAAAAGTTTAGGATTTAATTATTATTATTAACAAAACGTTTCCGATAATCATTTATTAATGCTTACATTAAGAACTCATTTTATTTCAAAAATTGAACGTTAACGTGCTTTATTAACGATCAATTAAAACAATGTGCACCATAGAATGTAGGTATTGCTGGTTGCATACTCATTTGTTAGCAAATCTGCAAAATTAAGGCTCCTCCACAGTCATTAATAAAAGATGCCAAAATAAGGGAAACCGCCGATCCATTTTGCGCCTTTATTTTAACATAGTTTAGTACAGTTACTATTACATAAATCGCGTACAGATGACAATCCGAATTTGTATCCATGCTATTGATTTTGTATTGATTTTGACACAACGTAAAAGTGAGGTTGTACGGGATTTATGCTCATGACAAAAATGTTTAAGGAAGCGTTTTGTATTTTCAAAAAAAGTAGCAATTTTTAAAATAAAAAATAAAAGTGCGAGTTATACTTAGTTTTCAGCGAAGACTATAACTCAGTGTGCTTTTAAAAAATATCTAGGTGATAGAGAATTTTTTTCTACTTTTAGGCGCCATTTTTCGTTTTCTTCTATAATTTTACTTCTTTTAGTTATTGTAAAAAACTACAATACATTTGGGGCAAATTTTGGTATGTTAGACAACCCAAAAATTAGCTGAGGCGGTAAGCATAACTTGGTCCACACAATAGAGCACGTTTTAAATACCTTATTATTTGACCACCCTTTGAAGCGGGGTTGGCCTGATTTAAATCAAGTGATTTAAAACAAATCATTGATTCAAATCATTTTTGATTTTTTATTTGAATTACGAACATATTATAATGCATGTTACAGTCTTTTAAATGCAATTTAATTCAATAAGGGTACAACCTGCGTACCGCCGCAATTTACCTTTCTTATTGAGACACCGCGAAGGCGTTGCAATTTACAAGTACAGTCCGATTCTTTTAACTTTGGCAATGTCGTAAAATAATAGCAAAAAAGACATCTGGGATAAATAAATAAAATATAAAGTTTTTAAAACTAAATAAAAATAAATTAAAAGTTCCAACTTAAGGCACATCATTTTTTATTTTTTTCTTACTACTTTTAAAATTTGAATTATTGTGAGTAACCGAAAAATTAAAAAAATCAAAGAAAAACAAAGACATCAAAACCAATTAAAAAAAAAACAAAAAAAATCGTGATTTAAAAAAATCATTGATTTTTGTTTTTTTTTTTTAATCCGATTTTTTTCCAACCCTGCTTTGAAGTCTCTGACAATAGCATTAAAAAGAAGGATAATTACTATTTATGTTACTTTTGAACCAAAATACAATAGTAACGAAATTAAGAAAATATATTTACTAATTAATATATTAATTATAGTGGACCAAAAGCTATAAGGTTATATGGCCATCATAAAATCATCCCATTGTGTCGAAGTTAAGTTGTTTACAATAGAAAAGGTTTTAGGGTCGTAAATAACGTGTCCACTGCAGCTCGACCGGCTGTTGTGGTTTCGTTCAGGGGCGGCTTTCACTAAATATGAAAATCCACCACTCCACTATTTCTTTACTACCTGCAGCCGCTGAGGGTTCCGAAATAACCACTCGCTTTGAAAGCCGACCCTGTTAAAGGTGAGCAAGAAATGTTTAGAAGACGATTTATTGCCAACCGGTATGCTTAGTGGGAAACACACAAAGGGGGTATTTATTTGCGGTCAACTACTTTTATGATGGTCATATAACCTTATACCTTTTGGACAAGTATACATAGGTGTAATCGTTTTGCGTTTTGTGTTTGGTAAACGGAGTGCCGAGAACCTTTTCTCTATACACTGAACTTTTCCATTTAAATATTTAACAATTACACTGGAAAATATAAATGAAAATACTGTAAAATGTAAATAATAATAATAATCAATAATATGTATAATAAAAACGATTGTATTATGTGCATTTACTGTACAAATTAATGGTTTTATTTTTAATCTCTGCAATTGAATCAGAATTTATTAACCCATCTGGAGAAGCTCCTAAAATTTTTTGCCGTCATCGGAATCCGCACTTTGGATACGCGTTTTTTTAATATAGGTTTTATTTTTATTAATCGTTTTTATTTTTTCGATCTCTTTCCGCTAACGCGTTCGTATACAGGGTGAGTTCGAAATATGTGCAATAAAAAAAATGGGGAATAGCTCACAATAAGATTGTCGCGCTGGTAGTATTTCTTGACCTACTTTTTTCAGTGAATGTTACAGAACGTCTCAGATTAAGAACCAAAAAAGTGAGTGATAGTGATAAGAAACGTACAAAAACACGAAAAGGGCCAGTCATGTATAAGTTGCAGCAAATTGTGGATCGAGTGCTTTCCAAATCGCGAGATTTCGTATGTGCGAACATTTGCATCAGTGGTATAGCATCTCCAAGACCATGGCATGTACCTTCAACCGCAAAGTTACGATCGTGGCCGTGATAGGGTAGAAAGAATACTGCAAGCTGAAGAACAAGTTTTGGAACGTGTCGAAGAAGAGCCCGACATTAGTACTCGCCGACTTGCAGCTGAAGTTGGAGTTTCACAGTTTGTAGTGAATCGCTTTTTATAAGAGCAAGGCCACATCCACACCATGTTCAAAAAGTGCAAGGTTTGGAGCTCGCTGATTGTCCACGTTGTGTAATTTACTGCAAATGGTTGTTACAGTAGTGTCGTGAACGCCCTGGGTTTTTAAAGTGCATTCTGTTTACGGGTCAAGCAGGATTGAATCGCAATGCTGTTTTCAACAGCTACAACACTCACATTTGGTCAGATGAAAATCCACACGCTTGTTAAGAACTAGGATTTCAACGACGGTCGTCCATAAATGTGTGGGCCGATATCGATTGGACGAAACAGTTTATGGAAATTAACAGTGTCCAGAAACTATCGAAGAGCTTCAACAAGTGGAGGTGGTAGCTGCTACAGTTCCTGGAACTTCCGCTGTTTTTTTGCCTATCAACAAATATGTTGCGACGTTTCTTCTAAAAAGCATTCTAAGTTGCCCTTATTTTTATTCTAATAAACAATGCAAAATCGTTGTTACAAGGACCAAACATCCGTCAGAATCAAAACCAAAACCATGAAGCATTACCAAAAATCGGTCCTTCCAGGACCACCATTTGTTTCTACAACGAATAATCTTTCGCACTGACCTTTAACGATGAATGAATGCATGAATGAACGAATGATAAGCAGCGAAAAATGGGTTCTACTTTTAATTGAAGCTGAAAGTGTTTACATCGTTTTTATTCGAAGGTTTTTCCACTTACTGTTTACAAGGTGAATCAGTGACTTCATATTGAACGTATCGAGGGTGGTTCATGGGGGTTTTGCCCCATTCGATTTTTAATTTGTTTTTTTTATATTTCCGTACTACTACGGCACGTGATGCCGTGGCTAAAATTATTGCATATATTGCGAAAACACTCTGTATACAGCAACATTGGCCTCTCCAAAAACTTTTTTGAATAACTGAACCAAGAACCTACCCTTATTATAACTTATTGCCGCACCAAAGCATCGGCCCTGATACGACCCTCGTCCAGAAAAATGTATTCTTTTTCCTCCCACAAATTTATTAACGACAGAATTGTAGCATTCCACAGCTTTGTTATCAACATCGAAAAGTAAACTAGACTACAAAGTTGCAACTCTATTTAAAACTTGTTTGTACGGTTCGTATAAAACACTATTTGCGAAAGTAGAAAATAAAATATCATTTGACTGTCCACTTTAATGACAAAAATGGTTTTCAGAGTGTTCGTGAACTGCCAAATATGTATAAGCTGCGGTCCATGTAAAATATCCTTTTTAAGATTTTCAATTTTTTTATGTAAAGGACTAGGCTCATTTTTGTGAAATTTGATAGCATTTATAATAGCTGTTCTAAATTTTAGAATACTCTTTTCAAGAACATTTTTAAGAGTGATATCTGCTTTCATTGTTTTAACTATTTCTCTAATTTTAGAACAATAGTTACGAAATATGTGATTTCTACATTCAATTTTTTCTATAAAATAATGTGCCCGAACTTTTTTTAAAAAGCTACCATCCCCGTCGCCTATAATTCTCCTATAACGTGAATTGTGAAGTTCCTCAGACTTATACAATACTTTCTAGATTTTTTTTTACGTTTTAGATTTTAAGCTGGCATTATATTGTAATATTTATTCTTTATTTTTACCTAAAAACCCAAAGGATTGATGATATTAGTAAATAAGTACTAGTAATCCAATGACTCCGGGAAATGCCTAACATACTGTGATGACTTCTGCGAAAGCTTAGGTAAATTTAATAGAATA